TCTCACCTGCCCATTGATATCTTATAACACAGCTGAGCAAGTGGCCTAAAAACATTAAATAGTTATTTGGTGGTATAGAACTTATTTTTGATCTGGATATTTTCAGATTTGCCATCGATACGAAGGCAGGTAGGAAGGTAAACTGTGAGGGGGATGCAGTAGGAATTACATTCAGTAGGTGAAAAGACTACAGCAGGTGGGATATCATACGGAAACATGCAGTTTTCTACTGTGGAGGAATGTAGAAAAGCAGGCTTTGTTTTTCTTAATACAATGTGACAACTGGGAGATGACGGTATTCAGGCGTTGTCCTTGTACACAAATCTCAACTAAAATGTGCACCCAGAAAGCAAGGGCATGTTAGTCTTTTAAAACCAGACTGCAAAAGTGAGATGAGAAAAGACTTAATGCATTTCTACAGAACCTTAGTGAGACCAGACCTGGAGTATGTCTAGTTTTGTTCCCCTTACCCAAGGATGAACATATTAGCATTTTAGAAGAGCAGTATAGTTTACAGGATTGTTGTATGAGGAACAACTGTATTGACTTTACTTATGACTCCTATAGTTTGATCTCACAAACAGAATTCTTAAGCTGCTTTTCCCTCTCTCTGAAAATGTCAAAAATAGGCTGCAGTTTGGCCACTTGGAATTGAGGTGAAGAGAGAGAAAATCTCATCACTCAGGGGTTCTGAATCTTTGGAATCTTCCACACTAGAGTCTTGTGGTTGCTCAGTCATTGGAGTATGTTGAAAGCTGAAATCAATGGTTATTAAGGAAATTGAGGATAACAAAGAACACTGAAGAAAATTCTCTTCAGGAAATGGTGCAGCACTTGAAGGCCAGAGTGGCCTATGTGCACTCCTGTATCTTGTGTTGCCTCTTTTGATGTAGTCACACATCCCAAGGTGTGTAACCAGTGTTGTTACTAAAATTGACATGGAATCACAAAGGACATAACATAGGCATGCTTTAAGTTGAATCTTAGAGGAGACAGCAGTTTTCGAAGGAGATGAAACATGTAGAGTTCACCAACACTACAGATGTTTCACATCAGATGGGTACAAGGGCTGGAGTGTCACATGACCCCAAATGTTTCTTTAATTTTGATCAAGTCTCTTTGGAGTTAAGTTTCTGTTGGCATTCTGGTTATATGATAAACTGCCTCACCTGAGGCCTGGTTAAATTGTTTAAGCATAGAATAAGGCAGAGGAGTTTAGGGAAAGAATTGCAGAGCTTGGGGACTAGGCAGTTTGGATGCCCATTGTGGTACGCAAGAGTCCAGGAATAGCAAGACGCCAGAACTGGAGGAGGCATGGGAAGGATTTGGAAAAAGAGGCTGAGTGTTCAAAGAGGCCTTTCAGGAATGGAAGCCAGGCTAGGTCACTCAGCACAGAGGCTGCCACACAGACATAGCCTGATGCAAGTTAGTACAAAGGCAACCAGACAGACAGACTGAAGAGCTCTGGAGGAGAAATAACAAAAGATAAAGACACAGATAACGGTTTCAGCAGATAGGTCAGAGTCGGTGTGTTTCTTCATTTAAGTATTGAAGAATTTGAGTGGTTTGGTTTGGCCTTTGTCTACTCCCAGGCAGAAGGATGCAGTTATTGCGAATGTGCTGATAGTTAAGCTAGAACTGTACAAAGTTCTAGTGAACCCCAGCTAGACTTGACTGCATTCAATCATGGGCATCACACCTTGAGAGGGATATATTGGCCTTGGAGGGAGATGCACCAGAACAATTCACGAGGTTAATATGAGCACAGGTTGTGCAGACTAGGCTTGTATTCCCAGAGTACAGAAGATTAAAATCTGATTGAATTGATGAGTTTAAGATGATTAAAGGATTTGATGGGGTGGATGGGATCCTTCAGATGAGGGAAATAAGTTAGACTGGTGAGGGGTGATTTTTAGAAAGCACTTTCACACAAATGCAAATGTGGAACTCTGTTTTTTTTTCCAAATAAATTAAATCTGTCAAACTTTGTTTTAATTGTTTTTTTTTGTTGGACAGGGCTGTGTAGGCCATGGTCTGACTGAATGGGAGAACAAGCTTGGTTTGAATAGATTCTAATTTTCTAATCAGTAGGCTATCAGTCATGTGCAGTGGCGTAAGGGTTTTATGAACAAGACATTTCAATCCCTTCACTGAAACCTCTTTTAAAAAGTGGCAGGAGTAGGACTCTGAGGTTGCAGAGGAGAATTACTGGAACAGCAGCAAAGATGAGGGACTTGAGTGACTGGAACAAAGTGGGGTGGTTTATTTTGGAGCAGGGAGATGAAGAGGTTGATAGAGGAGTTTAGAGATAGTAAATAAGGAGAAACTGTTCCTGCAGGCTGGAGGGTTCATAACCAGATAGACACAGACACATATTGAAGCTGTTCAACAAAAAGGACCAGGGGTGGGGGGGGGGGGAAGAGAAAGAAGACAAAACTGTCTCTGATACAGTCGTAATCTGCTGCTTGATGGGACAGCAGAAACTTGGGTAAAAATGTGGCAGGCCATAAGGATAATGTGCATTTCTCCAGCACCTCTCACCATCTTACAACATTTCTCTTCCCCCCCCACCCCCCACCACCCCAAGCCAATGAAGTTTTCTGAAGCATGGCTGTTGTAATGTCAGAAATAACAGTTGCTGATTCTTTGCGCAGCAAACTCCCATAAGCATTGTGATAATGGCCAAACAATCTGCCTTGATGTAGATTGAGGGATAATTATTGGGCCAAAGGAGACAGGAAAATGAGGATACACCCCTCTTCCCCACCCTGTTGTTGCCTCCCTTTCCAACCTCCCCTCAAAAAATAGACTGGGATCCTTCACAAGCTGCTGAGAAGTACTTGTTTTTACTGCCTCAGTGAAATTACGCACTTGTGCTTCCTCAGTAGTACGCTGGACCTATGATTCAGTTGGTTGGAATTGTATCTGGAATAGTGTGCTATTAGCCAAGAAGCAACCAGGTAGATATTTGAAAAGCAAGTGTGGAATGTGTTGAACTTGGAACCAACCAGCCAGACTGAAATGTCCTGAGGTTATAAACACAAGTCAACTCACTAATAAATCCACCTGGGAATTAAAAAATCAATGTCTTAGGGATGGCATGATGGCTCAGTGGTTAGCACTGCTGTCTCACAGCGACATGGGCTTGTGTTTGATTCCAGCCTCGGGCAACTGTCTTGTGTGAAGCTTGTCTGTTGTCCCCGTGTCTGCATGGCTTTCTGCTGAGTGCTCTGGTTTCCTCTGAAAATCCAAAGATGTGCAAGGTAGGTGGATTGGCCATGCTAAGTTACCCACAGTGCTCAGGGTTGTGTAGGTTAGGTGCATTCAGAATTACAGGGATAGGGTAGGGGTCTGGGTGAGATGTTCTTCAGTGTGGACTTGTTGGGCTGAATGGCCTGTTTCCACACTGTAGGGATTCTCTATGTTAAAAAAATTCCAACAATGCACCTCCTCTTCAGAAATTAGTGACAATTTGGGGCAGCACAGCGGTTAGTGCTGCTACCTCACAGCGCCCGGGACCCGGGTTCAATTCCAGCCTCGGGCAACTCTGTGTAGAGTCTGTACATTCTCCCCCTGTCTTTATTGGTTTCCTTCCACAGTCCAAAGATGTGCAGGTTAGGGTAGATTGTCCATAGTGTCCAGGGATGTGTAGGTTACAGTGGATTAGCCATGGGAAATGCAGGGTTACAAGGATAGGGTAGGGGGTGGTTCGCTCTTCAGAGAGTCTGTGTTGACTTGTTGGGCCAAATGACCTGTTTCCACACTAAGAATCTGTGGGAGTGTGGGGAGAGTACAGTACTTGCTCCATTGGGGACAGGGAGTGGATGAGGTGAAAGGCAGAGATGCATTTAAGTGGGAAGCTAGATAAACCCAAGGGAGAAAGGAATAGGAAATGTTGACAGCACAAAAGCAAGGCCTAGTTAATCTGTGCATGAGTTCAGAATTCTACAGCTCCAAGTCCTGTAAATTCTCTCAGCTGGGCACAAATGGGAACAAGCTTTAGTTCAACTTCAATTTTAGGCCTTGCAACATAGCTGTTTCCTCAGTCCCTGCTAATTAAAAAAGCCTGTATGTAACATCTGGCTTTTACTCCATTTTTCTTGCAGCATCTGTGTGAAAGGAGCCTTTACTCTGTCTCTGTCTCTGTCCCTGTCCTGAGACCGTTTGATAGGGACAGTGTAAAGAGCAGAGGGAGCTTACTGCGTATCTAATTGTATGCTGTCCCTGCTGAGTGTGTTTCACTAGGACAATGCAGAAGCAACTTTACTCTGTATCAGTTCCCATGCTGTATCTGTGCTGGGGACAGTGGTCGAGGAGGGGGTTTTACAGTATTTTCTGCAGAGATGTTTTTAAACAGAGGAGTCATTTAAGCCCATTGTGCCTGTGGAAGGGCACACTTCAACTCATTTCCTGCATTTTTAAAAACTATTTTAGAAGAGTAACTACAGGTTGGAGCACATGTAGACAATTTCACTGATTTTATATGAATAGGGGTCCCCATTACCCCTTCCCCCCTCCTCAGAAGGATAAATCCAACTCTGCCAGGAGGGTGTTGTGCTTTGGCAAGAACATCCCCTGTCTTGTGAGGGGAGAAAACTGCAGCAAATTGATCTCCAGGGTTTTGGGGAGGTGAGAAGCCACTCCTTTCCCCACCAGTACCCTTACCCACAGATGTGAGGAAATGTAGGAATATTGAGATACGCATAAGAACTTAAGAGGTGTGGGAGTAGGCTGTTCAGCTCCTCAAGAAAGCCTCACGATTCAGCAAGATCATGGCTGATCTTCCCCAGGCCTTAACTCCTCAAGGCCCTCAACTCCCCAATATCTTCTACTTCATCTTTGAATTTTTGAGTGATCTAGCCTCCACAATTCTCCAGGGTAGAGATTCCCAAATACTCACTATTCCTAGAGAAAAAAATCCTTCACATCTGTTGTGAACAAGTGCCCCCTTATTCTGTAGGGCAACAAACATACGCAAAAAGATTCTCTTGACACACTGATCCATTTCATGTGCTCATTCTAGTGATACATTTATTTTTTTGATTCAGTGATGTGGCAATTATACCCCGTTCCTGTCCCTCTACAGCTCAGAGCCTTAAAGATTGGCGCTGATTAGCATATAATCTGGTCATGAAAATTAAGCTTTATTTTTGTATTCGCCAGCGTTCAGGTTTGGTCCTGTATGACTGGGCTGCCTTCAGTCCTCGTCTGTGATGGAGAATCTCAGGATGTGAGGCTTTCATTTAAAAACAAAACACATAAGACAAAGTCTTACTCCGTAGAAGGTACAAGGGTGGGCAGACACTCAGATAAACTTTGACTATTTCCTGTACCCTGCTGTCTTCCCCCTCCCCTAACCACACACGCGCACACACAAACCTTTCATCACTCTCTCTTCCCCCCACCTCTCTCTCACCAAATCCTCTACTCAGAAGGTGTAACATGTTACCTGGAAGGTCTGACAATTCAAAAACCCAAAGAGCGAGGTTCCCTTCCAGCAGGAGCCTGTGTCCCCTCTTCCCATCAACACACCATCATTCCCTGCTGGGAAATGTAACCTTCTTCCCTTAGGCCAGCATCAGGCTCTTTGTTCCAGTCTACGATGCATTCATAACATGGTGAGGCGCAAAATATAGGACATTTGCCTTTTTTTGATAAAGCAACCGTTTGCCTTTGGAGGATGCCAAGCGATTCTAAAGGGACCCCCTGATAGGAGGGGACTCCCTCTGCAGTCTGGTTACCTACCTGCCCAGGTGAGGGACAAGTTGTATGCTGGACCAGGTACCAGACAGCAGGCTGCCATCCCAAGTGCCTCGGGGGGGGGGGGGAAGGATCTCAACATCTCGTATTTCATTCCAGCCATTTTTTAAAATTACCTCTGCCTCATGGAATCCGACAATCCTTCCCTTCAGAATGACACCGTCCATCTTGCGATTGCCCATCACTCCTGCTTATTTAAAAGGAAAGGTTGAGCTGATTTATGGCAGTGAACTTAACAGTCAAATTAAAACAAAGCGTATCCAAGTTTACAGATTTCCCATATAATCCTTCCATCCTCGGTGATTACTAAATGCAGTGAATGTTTCATTTTTTGATCTCAGATTTGCATTCATTCTTAATTCCAAATACTCAATGCCATGTTGCACAAAGCAAAACATCTTGTACTGCAATCAGGCTTTTCTCATGAAGTGTAAAGACACTTCTTCTGTGCTGAAGTGACAGTCCTGGTTAAACCCTTAAGAGTAGCCAGTGAAGAGGAGCAGAAATCTTAGGTGGTACCTGCTGTAGTATACCTCCTCAGGGAGCAAGTGCTCTTAATGGGCAGATTTGAGCTTTGTCCAGACGCTCATGGCGGTTGCTCGAAAAGGTGTCCCTGGATTAGCAGATGTTTGTAAAATCTGATCTCCGACTTTGTGCCGGTCACACAGCTAATGAGATTGAGACACGCAGCAGGAAACGAGTAGGTTTTTTTAATTATTGACAAATTAGCAACCAATAATTAAACCAAAACAAACACTTCAAGTTCTATAGCTTCATCCAGGACTTCAAGGTGTCCTAAAGTGCTGCACATCCAAATAGGTTCCTGTGAAATGCAGTCACTGTTGTAACATAGGAAACGCTGCAAACAATTTGTGTACAGCAAACTCCAGTAAAACAGCTGATAACACTGATAGTTTTGTTTTAAAAATGTGTTAGAATCGTAGAATCCCTACAACTGGAAAGAGACCATTTGGCCTATCAATCTAAAGCATGTCGTCATTGTCTTCAGGAATAGTGCCAGAAGACTGGAGACTAGCAAATGTTGTCCCCTTGTTCAAGAAGGGGAGTAGAGACAACCCTGGTAATTATAGACCAGTGAGCCTTACTTCGGTTGTGGGTAAAGTGTTGGAAAGGATTATAAGAGATAGGATTTATAATCATCTAGAAAGGAATAATTTGATTAGGGATAGTCAACACGGTTTTGTGAAGGGTAGGTTGTGCCTCACAAACCTTATTGAGTTCTTTGAGAAGGTGACCAAACAGGTGGATGAGGGTAAAGCGGTTGATGTGGTGTATATGGATTTCAGTAAAGCGTTTGATAAGGTTCCCCATGGTAGGCTATTGCAGAAAATACGGAGGCATGGGATTGAGGGTGATTTAGCGGTTTGGATCGGAAATTGGCTAGCTGTAAGAAGACAGAGGGTGGTGGTTGATGGGAAATGTTCATCCTGGAGTTCAGTTACTAGTGGTGTACCTCAAGGATCTGTTTTGGGGCCACTGCTGTTTGTCATTTTTATAAATGACCTGGATGAGGGCGTAGAAGGATGGGTTAGTAAATTTGCAGATGACACCAAAGTCGGTGGAGTTGTGGATAGTGCGGAAGGATGTTGCAGGTTACAGAGGGACATAGATAAGCTGCAGAGCTGGGCTGAGAGGTGGCAAATGGAGTTTAATGCGGAAAAGTGTGAGGTGATTCACTTTGGAAGGAGTAACAGGAATACAGAGTACTGGGCTAATGGTAAGATTCTTGGTAGTGTGGAGGAGCAGAAAGATCTCGGTGTCCATGTGCATAGATCACTGAAAGTTGCCACCCAGGTTGATAGCGTTGTTAAGAAGGCGTACAGCATGTTAGGTTTTATTGGTAGAGGGATTGAGTTTCGGAGCCATGAGGTCATGTTGCAACTGTACAAAACTCTGGTGCGGCCGCACTTGGAGTATTGCGTACAGTTCTGGTCACCGCATCATAGGAAGGATGTGGAAGCATTGGAAAGGGTGCAGAGGAGATTTACCAGGATGTTGCCTGGTATGGAGGGAAGGTCTTATGAGGAAAGGCTGAGGGGCTTGAGGCTGTTTTCGTTAGAGAGAAGAAGGTTAAGAGGTGACTTGATAGAGACAAACAAGATGATCAGAGGATTAGATAGGGTGGACAGTGGGAGCCTTTTTCCTCAGATGGTGATGGCTAGCACGAGGGGACATAGCTTTAAATTGAGAGGTGATAGATATAGGACAGATGTCAGAGGTAGGCTCTTTACTCAGAGAGTAGTAAGGGCGTGGAATGCCCTGCCTGCAAAAGTAGTAGACTCGCCAACTTTAAGGGCATTTAAATGGTCATTGGATAAACATATGGATGATAATGGAATAGTTTAGGTTAGATGGGCTTCAGATTGGTTTCACAGGTCGGCGCAACATCGAGGGCCGAAGGGCCTGTACTGCACTGTAATGTTCTATGTTCTATGTTCTACAATAACAGAGTGGCTACAAGAGCAGGCCAGAACCTGGGAATCCTGCGGCGAGTAAATCATTTCCTGTCTCCTCAAAGCCTGTCCACTATCTACAAGGCACAAGTCAGGAGTGTGATGGAATACTCCCCTCTTGCCTGGATGAGTACAGCTCCAACAACACTCAAGAAGCTTGACACCATCCAGGACAAAGCAGGACAAAACAATATAGTGCTTGATTGGCACTATATCCACAATCCTTCACTCCCTCCACCACCGACGCTCAGTAGCAGCGGTGTGTACCATCTACAAAATGCCCTGTAGAAATTCACCAAAGATCCTCAGACAGCACCTTCCAAACCTATGATCACTTCCATCTAGAAGGACAAGGGCAGCAGACATATGGGAACACCACCACCTCCAAGTTCCCCTCCAAGTCACTCACCATCCTGACTTGGAAATATATCGCCGTTCCTTCACTGTCGCTAGGTCAAAATCCTGGAATTCCCTCCCTAATAACATTGTGGGTCAACCCACAGCAGGAGGAATGCAGCGGTTCAAGAAGGCAGCTCACCACTACCTTCTCAAGGCAACTAGAGACAGGCAAGAAATGCTGGCCAGCCAGCGATGCCCACTTCCCACAAAAAATGAATAGAAAAAAAATTCTTCTAAATTCCAGCAAGTACAAGCCCAGTCAATCCAGTATTTCCTCAAATGTCAGTCCTGCCATCCCAGGAATCAATCTGGTGAACCTTCGCTGGACTCCATTGAGAATGTCCTTCCTCAGACCAAAACTGCACACAATACTGTGACAATGCTGTGGATTTAAAGATTATCCTGTCCTTTTTATTAAGAGAGGTTGTAAGGCAGAGGTGATGGGCTGTCTGGGGTCATATAAGCAGTTTGGGAGGTTTTGTTATTTTTTCACAAACAAAAACAGAAGTTTGCTGGAAAAGCTCAGCAGGTCTGGCAGCATTTGTGAAGAAAAAACCAGAGTGAATGTTTCGGGTCCAGTGACCCTCGATTTATTTTTTAACATCTGAATGGGTGTGGCTAGCTCCCACAGATCTAGATTTCTGAGTTTTGGGCTTTTCAGTAGCATCAGAAGTTATTGGGGTCAAACAGAGTTGGAAGCTTCAGTGAATGTTTCCTGGCTCTACTCTCTCTGAATTTTCTTTATGTGTTTTTTTCCCTCCTGGATTGCAGAACTGCATGTGAGAATCTGTGTCTGAATTTTCCTGTATTTTTGTCAAGGAGTGTGTTTATGAGATGTGACTACATTGGAACAGTTAATTAGTATTAGATACTGTATCTATTATTACGGTAAGTTTTCCAATAGAGCTGTTATTCTAAATTCCTCTTTCTTTGGTTGTATTTTAACTGCAGTGTTTAAGTAAATTGTGTTTTGCTTAACTTTGAGTAGTTTGTATCTGGAACACAGCACTTCACACTGGTCTTTAAAATAAGAACAAGTTAGTGTCTGAGCTACCTTCCTTCTTAAAATATTTTGAGGATGTCTGGTCTGGTCCATTACAATACCCAAGATGTGGCCTCACCAAGGCCCTCTATAACTGCAGCAAGACATCCTTACTGCTGCATTCAAACCTTCTGTGAAAAGAGGGCTACGGGTACAAGGTAATCATTTAAAACACTCAAACAGCTGTCATTCACATAATGGGCTGAACGGCAACCTGAGATTCGCTGTTCAACACGTTCAGAGGTGAGGGAGGGGGAGTTACTGAAATCCTGCTTTTACTGTGGGGAGAGAGAAGAGAGGGAGAAAGGCAGAAGGGGGAAAGAAAGTAGCAGACAGAAATGGACACAAAAAAGGAAAGAGACAGAAAAATAGAGAAAGAAAGAAACAGAAAGAAAAAGAAAGAAAGAAAATAGTGCTGTTATCCATCTCCTAAAACAGACCTTGTTTCAATTCACAACAGCACCACTGATGTATCTGAAATGGGCTGCTTCAGATCATGTGAATCTGGGACTCTGGCAGAATCCCAGAACTGTTCCGATGCAGAAGGAGGCCATTCAGCCTACTGTCCCTCTGCCAGGTTCTATCCCCTCGTGCCAATCTCCTGCCTTTTCCCTGCATGCCATTTCTACCCAAATAACCATCCGATGCCCCCTCAGTTGAACCTGCCTCCCCCACATTTCCAGACCCTCACTACCCTCTGGGTGAGGAAGCTTTTGCTCACATCTCGCTCGCTTCATTAGCACGTCCCTTCAAATCTACACCCCTCTCGTTCTTGTTCCTTTTACAAGCGGGAACAGCCTCTCCCTACCAACATTGTCCAGCCCCCTCTCGTCACTCTGAAAATCTCTATCAGATCTCCATCCCAGCCTCTTTCTCTCCAAAGAGAACAGCTCCAACGTGTCCAATCTGTGCTCATCCCTGAAGTTTCTCATCCCTGGATGCCCCTTCCTTGTAACCCAGCCCCGCACTCTATGCTCTGCAATGTGTTCACATCTTTCTGATAATGTGCCACCCACAGCTGGGCACAGTCCTCCAGCTGAGGGTCTAACAAGTGTCTTGTACCAGTTCCACATCACCTCCCTGCTCTTGTACTCTGTGCCCCTGTTAATAAAGCCGAGGGCACTGTCCGCTTTATTCACTGCTGTCTCCCCACCTCCGTCCTGCCACCTTCAATGATCTGTGCACGTATACACCCAGCTCCCCCTGCTCCTGAAACCCTTTAGAATTGTGCTCCCTGTTTTATATTGTCTTTCAATGTTCTTCCGACCAAAGGGCATC